TGAAGCCTAGTAATCTAACTTTGTAGGTTTACCTAGACCTTGCTCTAATACCACTAAAATGTCACGACCTTTTTTTTATAAGGAGCCAAAAACATTATTTCTACACCATTTATTTATTTGAGATAAATAAATAATGGAGAATATAAGTATAAAATTCGCTTTCATTCAAAATAAACAAAGTTCCTTACAATAAATATCCAACAAAATAATATAATATTACATTTAATTCATAATACACAAAAGTTTTACTACATAACTCCCTCTATATAAGATCTCAAAATATAAGGAAATGGACTTTAATATAAAATCACTCGACTCCAGCCATCTAACACTTCTCCACTGGCTCCTCAGCCTGTGAAGTAGATGCAACGCCTGCTACATCTGCTCATGTACCACGGTACGATCATCGCAGTACGCATGCACACAACAACATAGACAAAAATGCAAGTGTGAGCTTACAAAAAGAAAATAAAATCATATATATATATATATATATATGTATATATATATATACATATATATATATATATAGAGAGAGAGAGAGAGAGCAAAATATTACTCACAACAACAGCTCCATGCATTCCTAGCCCATCTAATGCACAGCATGAAAACGATTCCAACTGGTTTCACAACCTAAGTAATCCAGAAGGAACTGAGCCGGTCTGAGAGCGACCCATTTCGGTATCTGAATCCAGACAGCACAGCTCAACATGCTCTATCGTTACACGTCTACCCACCTAAGCGTGTAACTCGTTCTATAATCATGCAAGACATATATCTCAGCATGATGTAGCACAGTTAAAATCATTTCAACAAATCAGCTAAGACAAGTTTATAATAAATCAACCAAATCTCAATGTTATTAAATCAGTTATCAGCAGTTACAACATAGAAAAATAACTTTCAAGTATTAAATCATTTATATCACAGCTTTTATCAAAGAGATCTAACAAAACTAACTAAACTTTTCTTTAATAACATATCAAACCATTCAAAATATAGTTCATAGGCTAAAGTAAGCTCCCTTTATCTTAGAACGGTAATTCACACCAGATCTACTAAATATTACTTGTTTTAACAAAAGATTCACTGAAATTTTAGCTTTAGAATGAAGTCTCTCCTAAGAACACCATGAACTTCTATGAGAAAGAAGGAGAAGAGAAATGAACGGTGAAACTAACTTCAAACTTAGAGAAACTTACTTCAAATCCCTTAGAAAGGACGTAGAATCACATATCTAGAGAGAAATCTAAGTTTATGAGAGTTTAGTATGAGAGAAAATGGTGGTATATGGCCTTGAAACCTTTGAGAAGTGTGAAGAAGTAAAAATTTTGTGCAAGGACCCCTATTTATAGAGAAAATTTTTTTGGCACTGTTCACACCACCTTACTGTTAAGGCACACTGTTCACTTTTTTTTAAAAAAAAAAAATTCATCTAAATCTATTCCAATACCAAATAATTCTTCAATTAATACTTAACTAATACAAAATATTATATATTACTCAATAATAAATTACAGGCATAACATATTTAGTGAATTTGATATCATTATGTTGGTAAATTAGAACCCGGTATTTGTTTTGTATTTGTATAGTTTAGTTCCTTTTTTTATTAAGTGCTCCATTGATATAGATGAAGGAAAATTAAAAGGATTAAATATTTATTTTTTAAAAATAACAAGACTTCTTAATAGTTAAAACAATAAACAACCAAGAAAATTATCATTACTTTTACTAGGCACATAAATAAACTGTTAATTAAGATTCTTTTAGCAGTTATTGCTTGAATTTTTTTTATTTTTTTTTTACAAATTTACTCCTATACCTAATAAGAAAATTGTCTTAAATACTATGTTTCAAATATTTTATTTAACGGTAACATTATATAACCTTTAAAAAAATTTAACCTGCCTTAATGGGTTTGATTTTTAAGGTAGGTTTTTCTTACTCTAACATATAAGCAAAAGCTGTTAAAAAGGGCATGCTTTAGTGGCTAAAAATTCATTTGAAAATCTATTTTTTTTCTTTCTTTAAATAATATCATGATAACATTAATTAACGTTTACCTTAAAATAAACGAAAGTCTCTTTACAAATTCATTTTCTTTTAGTGAAGAAATCTAACAAACTAATTAAGGAACCGTGTAATAATAATGTAAATGAAAATTAATTATAATTAGCTCGTTATTCCTCACATTCGCAGTATAAGGAAATAAAAAGATGCCGTGCACACACAAGAGAGAGAGAGAGAGAGAGTCACAGATACTCTAATTTATATGGAATGTGAGTGAGCTCGTGATGAAAGGAGCTTGCCCCTTGCAAATATACTCCTAGACATTAGTTGTCATGACAATTATAAAGAACAAAAATCCCAGACAAAACCACCCACCAATGCACTGGAATTTCCCTTTCAAATAAAATTCTGATTCTCCAAAATAGTGATTCGCTATTAAACTAACCAAAGAAAACATTGGTCTACACAGGAGAATTCCAACGCAAGCAAGCTCGTGATAAGAATAATAATATCCCATTATCCCTCCTTAATTCACTGACTCACTCTATAGTCCTAATCTATATAACCCCTCCTTCAAGTGAACATAGAAACGACACTTTCTTCCCATGTGCACTTCTGCCACTGCAACCCAAAACTTCACTGATTCCTCTCTGTTTACATCAGACCTACCCATCTCACAAACCCAAAAGAAGACAAAGCCCACCAACTGCCTTTAAGACCTTCCCTCTTACTTACACCTCTATAGGACCTCGTTTCCCTCGTATATATTAATTGCATTGCTTATACTTCTTATTTCTCTTCCCAATCACATGCAAAATTGAGAAATTCAATCACCAAATTCGATAAAGGGAAACGCCAAAATAACCCCTTCAAATCATTGAAGCAATCTTCATTCTTTAGCCTACGAGGGAATTTAAATGTTGGGTGTGGCCTAAGTTCTTCCATTTATATTTATGTTTATGTGATAGCTACATTTGAATGACCATGCTGGGTACAAATGCTCGTTTAAGTCAAAAGGGTGTTCCATCAAATTCCTATTAAAGGTAACGATCAGAAAGTAGTTCCCAGAATGCTCGCCTTGTGTCCTGCAGCGATTTATGCAACATACTTGACTACCTCGGGTTAGAGTTTATAGGGGAATTGGAGTTCACTTTCACTCTTTATAATTCAAGACTCATCATTAAGTGTGTGCATGTGTACCACCAAAGTTGATAGATAAGTGAGTCGCTAAAAGGTATATTTATGAGCTTGAATTTTGAAAGAGAGGAGGGGCGATGCTCAAATTTTTACTTTTTATTTGATAAACTTTTACAAGAGAAATAAAACAATAGATTAGTATAAATATTAATGACTTAATATTTTGTCTTTTTATAAATTGTATATAACTCGTTTAATAAAATGATAAAATCTTTGTTTTATTATTTATTTTTTAAAAAAAAAAAACTGAACTTTAAATCGTATCTTAATCAAGAAAATGTAGGAAATACACTTTTTAATATTTAATTTTAAATACACTCGTTAATATTGACTAAAATTAACTAAAAATTATAAATTTTTTGTTGATTTATTATTAAGAATTTTTCAATGAATGTGTATGAAAAGAAAATGTCAGAAGAGACTGTATTTATTATGGTGATTGCCCTGACTTGAAGGAGATTAGTTTTTAATTGCTGACGGAAGCATACCCTTGTTGCGTATACACCTAAATCAAAGAATGGATATGCGTACACCAAATTCTCCCATACACAAGAAGAAACCAAAAACTAGCGTAGTTAGCGCCTGTGAGTCATGGAGGGGAAATTATTCTCTTTGAGATTATTAAAATGCAAAAGCATATTATGATAGCCAATTTTTTAAACGGGTTGATTCCGGAGTAGGTGGCAAATTTTGGAGGGATTTAGAAGAAAGGTAGATATGAAAGGGAGAGAGAAAAGGTGAGAGAGAGAAAGGAAGTGAATGGATTTGTGTGTAAGGGATACTACTAGCTGCAACAGATCTGAGGTGATGAGAATAATACAAAGGAAAAGGGAATCAATGTTGGGATGCATCTGACTTTATGCGGCTGTGAAAAGCTCAATCAGTGTGTTTTTATGGGTTAGTTTAGTTGTTTGTCTGATGGAATGTCAGTGAGGTACTGAATGGGAAAAAGAGCTCACACTATTCCATGCAGCAACTCACTTACTTCACCCCTTAAACCCCACACAAATAATGCCCTAATCTCAGTACTTAAAACACTTTTTACACACAGTACATTCTCTCTTTCTTCTAAACTGTTAAACAGTGATTCCTTCCCTACCTATCAGAGATATGTGAATTTGAAATTCATGTATTAAAAGTATGTTGTCCACATGCAGAATAATGAACTACAGTACAAGGCATTAGTTCTGCTCCAAATTACAGGACTTGAGCTTACATTAGTGTTTTTTCATTCATCACTGTGGAAATAGTGAGGGTGAAGGAACCGGCTATCTGGCTCAAGAAAATTATAACGATAAAAAAACAAAAAAAACTACATGGGAAATCCTTTATTTAACTTTTAAATGTAAACAAACTAATTACCAATGCAAGGATATAAAAATTACATTTGTTGGATGAACTAGAATTAATAAATGTGTTGTAGTATTCAAAGTAAAGATGTGTAGCCAGCAATGAGATTATCTTTGTATTAGATCATTCATAAGATCTTAGTAAAAATCGATGCATGGAACCATCGATTACAAAGTCATGTAATCTGCAGTTATTGAAAATATTAATCAACAGCAAGTTTACAAGCCTGTCAATATAATTGCAGTATTGTTATATCATTGACACTTTGCACATATATTCCGAGGCCTTCTGAAGATCCAATCAAACATGATTAAAAGCTTTCTCGATTGTAAGGTATTAAAAGAAGTGAAATAAACAACAAAGATGAACTTAAAAGAGAAGAAATTTATATTCATTAACAGTGGGGGGGGGGGGGGGGGGTGTTCTATATATGCTACTTACTATACCTTGGACCTGTTTCCAAGCCTTAACTCCAGATCTAGCTCTTCAATGGAGCTAGGGCTAAATTCAAACATCTCTGGCAGCACATGATGCCTATCAACAGAGCTTGACTTTTGGAAAAATAGAATTGAGGAAGCATCTGTTTTCCTTTTCTTGCAACTGTGATCTACCCCTTTACTACTCTCAAACTGAACAGATGGGTGAGCTCTATGCACAACCAAATTCAAGCTCATAGCCCCACCAACATCATCATTATCATTATCCCCCTCATCACCCCTACAACTAGAATCCATTATTATTCCCTTGGAGGGATTTTTAATATCAGCCTCAGGGTGGAACTTACATGAATATAATCTGTGATCTTCACCTAAATTTGGCCATGATTCAGAAGAATTGTTGAGTGGGGAAATCTTGGGGAGAATAGAGGAATCATAAAGTGGAATCAGCGTTTCCTCACTGCAGTTACCATTAACTGATGGAGCTAATAAGGCCTTGGAAGGTGAGGGGGATGACGAAGGTGAAACAACAAAATCACGATCAGAATTAGGGTTAGTTCTTTTATAAGCCAATCCACAAACAGGAGAAGGGTATAGGTAACCACTCAAAGATGCAAAAGGACTTTGAACTGGCTTATGGAGTTGATGTGTTTCAAGGTCATGACATAGAATTTCATTGTTGGGGCTAGAGGGTTGTTGCTTTAGTCTTGCTCTATCCCTTCTATGAACATTCATGTGGCCACCTAGAGCCTGTGCTGACCTAAACTCTCTTCTACAAAAGCTGCAAGAGTATGATCTTGGAGGCCATATGCAGCCACCTAGAGAATTAGCTGCATCTTCTGCAAAAGCTTGTTCTTCCCATGAGTCTCCATAGGAAGGGTTTGTTGGTAAAGTGAGATTAGAGGCCACAGAGAACTTCCTTTTTGTCTGCATCCAACATTGATCCTGTTCCATTGGAACACAGATCACCACAAACTACCCAAAACCTTAAAGGGAAAAGAACAATATAGATAATAGTAAAAGGATGAAGAGGGTTATGTAACTGATCCTATATTTATCCAGGGAATTGAGAGCATGACATGAAGTCTACTACTAACTATGGATCTTAGATAGGGATTGCTTAAGGGAATTTTTTTGTGGAAGATGAAGTGGTGGGTACTCTAACCCTTTTGGTGTGTTTTTTTGTGTTTGGCTTTCTAACACAGTCAATGAATGAGGAGAGACACTAGAATGAATATACTACTTACAAGTTCCCCTTTTTTCTGCATTTTCTTTGTGAGAAGAAGCAAATTAGCAACCATGGCTTGGAAAATTACTGATGTGGGTCCTCTTATGTCTTACATAACATCAGATGTGAGGTGGGGTGACCACTGTAGTACTGACTTAACTCAAAAAATCTGACTGCAATCTCCTCAGAGAGATCCACCACTGTGTTGTCTTTTTTTAATATCCTTTGATTTTCATTGTACAGAAAACATATCTATGGGATTTTCATGTGTCCTTTTTTATTATTATTATTAACACAAATTTTTAACATGTGTTAGAGAAATTTATATATAGTATAGGATTTATTGTATTAAAAATCATACAGTAATATTAAATATTATATACCAATTTTTTTTTATGTATCTTTAATAATAATAATAATAATAATATGAATAAAAATGAATATACTTGATGCATATTATACAATTAATTGTACGATTAAATCAGCCGTAGCACACCACAAGTCCATAAACTTTTACCATATGATTATAATTAGTCTCGCCTTATGATTCAAACACACATTTTAAAATTTTCCAAGATGACTAATGTATCTGATTCATTAAATGTTGGATTAATTAATTAATTTAGTTAAATATGTAAAATCAAATTTAAAATTAGGCTTAATTATTTAAATAAGTTAAATTTAAATTTTTCAAGCTTAATATTAATAATTCATATGTAACATAATTAAATAATTACAATTTTATTTATTATATTATTATTTACTTATACACATATATATATATATATGGCTTTTAATCATGAGACATCTTCGTATAGATAAATTTATATCTTACAACTATTTTACTTTATTTTTATTAAAAATTATTTTGAAAATACTAAATGAAGAAAAAAATAGTAGAATGTTAGGAATACACTCTTTTTAACACATTCTTACTCATTGATTGAAATTTAATAGAAACTACAAAAAATGAATGAGAATTATTAAATTAAAAATAAAACTCATGTAAATTTTATTATTTTTAATGAATTTTAGTCAATAATAAAGAATATGTTTGAAAGAGTATATCAAAAAATGTATTTTTTGCATTTCTCAAGAAATTTTTCAAAACTAAAAAAAAATAAAATTCAAACTCATGAATCAGCATAGGCTTTAAAAATCTTTAAACAAATTAACGTTTAAGCTCTAAATCTAATTCGTTTAATTAAATTAATTAAATTTTTTCTTTTATCAATAAATAAATGAAGCATCAACATTTTCTTTTACTACAATCAAATTTAAACTTATTATCAGACTTAATTCAGCTCAATTATAGTACTGCCCCTAATGATACTAATATACACCAAATACTATTTTGTTAGCATTTTTCTTGCCATACGTATAATGTTTCAACAGTTTGTGTGATTTTAAAGCTTGGTTATTAACAACCGTCCTTGTGGGTTTTGCGGGTAAAAGAATATCTGATCTTTTCTGTGTATTTCTTTGACGAGGTTTTATGATAATATTTCTTGAGGGTGAGGTTAACCCTTGCAGCCTTGCTTAATGGGATGAGGTTAACGTTTATTATAATTATTAGGCATAGCTAACTATCACAAAAAATATGCCATTTTAAGCTTGTATTAAATAGAAATAATGTATTTTTCATTCTTCATGAAAGACTAAAAATACAGAACTTTAACAAATATTGAATTGTTAATTTTTCTTTTCAATTTTTGATCTGATTAAGTTAAAATGGATATAAAAGGCTAAAACTTTTCAACTCACACCAGAACTACAGTGATGGAGGCGAATACTGGAACAGCAATCAGTAAGTAGAAATAGAAAAAAAGTGTACCGATATGATTTGTAAAATAGATAATTTAGCTTTAAAAAAATAATATTATTTTTAATAATAATATACTAAATAGAAAAATATTTAATTCTATAAAATATCGTTTTATGAGATGACTCGTGACAGTATTTTTAGAAAATTTAATTATATATGTAAATAGAATTAATGATCTTATTGCTAATTTTTTTTAGAAATATAATAGATTAGAATATTCGTTATACTCATATTTTACCTTTAATAAAATATTGATACTGACCATGACAAAAAAAAAAAGTAACACTAATATATGTGTATATATTTTTACGGTAATGAAGTGTCACATTAGTAAATTAAAATAAAAGTTAAATAAAAAAATCTAAATTTAAATTATTTAAAATATTTAGTATATATTTAAAAATATATTAAAAATTTTATTATTCATGATCTTTCTTCTCCAATCTTAAATAATATGTTCACGTTCAAAATATTAATATATATTTTAGCTACGTAATACAATAGAGGGGATGGTACGGTGTACGTTTTATTTAGGGTTGAATTGAGGGACTTATAAGTTGAGGTATATGTGAGTGTTATTATAAAGTAAAATGTAGAATGACATAAATGTTAGTGGTAATGTAGTGACTATTATACCCTATTGTAAATACATGGACTTTTATAAGAAAGACGATGAGATGTTTTAAGAGCTTCATATGGTGTGTCTACTCTAGTTCAGAAGTAGTTCTAATCTCGTTAATTTTTAATTTAAGATTTTTCTAATTAGATCCAAACTAATTTTAATGCTTTTAAATACCTAAAAAAATTAGATAACTAAGATATAATTTTATACAGCTATATCGTTTTAATGGTTTTAGAGAAATTCATATCTCAGATTATGCATGTTGCATAACGTTTACACATTTTATGTAATCTGATTTGCCAACTAGAATGTTTTTGTTTTTACTCTCTTAATTATTTTGGAAAATTTATTTTGTAACAAAAGGATTTTAGTGTTATCAGCTTCATTATTTAAAACGTCAAATAATTGACACTATATATCACATCGTATATATTTATTTTTATTTTTTATTTTTTTAATATATAAAATATACTCCCAATATCAAAAGGACAACAAAAGCTGTTGTATCAGTTTTTAAAAAATATTATTTATTAATAAACAAAAGTTATATATTAAGTTTGAAGATAATTCTATTAATATAATATGTTTCTAATAAAAATTAAATTGTTGGGCAGAACGAAATGCATTATTGGTCAGTAGAATTTCATCACGGATTATCAAGTTAATGTAAATGTGTTAAAATTTTTGGGGGAAAAAACCTAATATATTATTATCATCATCATCATCATATATGGATAGCATGACTTCACTTTTATTGTTACTCTTTTGTAGTATTGAATTAGATGTTTGAGTCATTTTTTAAAAATGTATATTTTCTTTTATTAATTATATATATATTTTTATTTTCTACCGTTATATTATATGAAATATGAGCTTATTGACATATATGATATTTATATAGGATACTCTATCTTTTAATTTTGATATTTGTATTTCATTTTAACTGTTAGTTGACAATGATTTCAGTTATAGTGGATATTTTATTTTAAATGATTCACATATTTTGAATGTACAATTGACTAATGCTATATAAGTAGGAGAATGCTATATTATTTTAATTGTGTATTTTTCAACTGAAGTTTTATTGATTAGAATTAATTATTTATTTAAATTATTAATATTAATTTTGAAAATTAATTTATTTAATTAATAGATATAATAAACTTTTTATTAGAGTGATTTGTGATAAATTACACAATTCATTTGTCTTCTTTAAACTAAAAAAGTTTAAGAAATATTTATTTTTCTCATGTTTAACTATTTAACATTAGCTTAATACAGAATTTATTGACTTGCAAAAGAAATAATAATTTTAAAATCGACACAAAATTTAATGTTTCTTCTCTCCAATAAATTACTTACAAAACACATAAACATTGTAAGTACACTTTTTCTTTCTTTCTTTATCTAAACATACTTCATACGTTGTTACATCTAAAAAAATATTTTGAAATTTAAATTATTTGTATTTTGTATTAAGTCTAACCTCAATATTTAAATACGGTAATTTTGATCTAACGTGGTTGAGTTAAATTTTTTTATATTGAATGAATAATATGACTAAACTATGCATTAAAATGTTTAAAATTTAAATTTATTTAAAAATAAAATAAAAATCATAAAACTAATCATAAGTAATAAATTTAAAATGTATTTTAAATTTTTTGATAGGCAAAATATATATTATTAGAGAAAGTTTAAGGGGAACTCGAAATACATATATACATAGAAAAAAAATTAATACTTACTTAGGAAAATAAAAAACAAAAACATACTTACACAAAGTTAAGACATATGCAATTTCGTGAGTTCAGATACCAATTAGTTAACAAAATAGCTTCTCCTTTATTAACAAGTAATAGCCATTTTCAGGACATTTAAATAATTGAATCTAGGACTTCTCTCTCATCCAAAACACCATTAAAAAACACAATTCTATTTTTACATAACCACAAAGACTACACTGTACTTATTCAAACAATTAATAAATATAGTCTTTTTCTTTTACTACAACCAACACCAACCCAAGAAAGCAAGTGAGTCGATAAATCTGAAGGCAAAACCAATGAGAATACAAGGCAACGCGCATTAAAGTACGAAATTTGAGATGAAACTAAGCATGTTAAAAACAAATGAGTTAGAAGTTTTACCAACCCATGACAGAAGTAACAAGTTATAATATCAATTTGAACACCACGATCAACCAGTAAATCTTTACAAAAAAAGTGCATTCAACAACAATTGTCAAGAAAATACTAGATACTTAAGAGGAACCTTCC